TTTCTACAGCCACAGCTTAGACATCCAGGTACCTAACTAAATTGTTTGGGTTGGTGCCCTCTGCAAAAAGGATCAGAAAACTGAAAAACTTCCAATGTTTTTAAAATGATCACGACAACTAAGACACGAGTACAAGGCTAGATTACAGATACACACAGATTGCAAGATACAGGTTACAAAATTAAAGATTGCACGCTGGTGACAACTGTGCTTGACACAATGCTAGACCAGCTCCTGGCAGACTATAAAACAAAGCGGTGAGAAAAGCTCTAAGCCAGCAGTCTTGTGCCCACTCAAGCTCCAGAAGTATATATCCACCCATTTATTTTTTAAGTCTTGTGTTAAGCATATTCCTTTATAAAAAAACGGGACAGTGCAGTTTTCTATAGCATGCATCTGGAAGATAGTATTTTCTCAACTGATAGATTCTGTCTATTTTCTTGAGGGACAAACCCAAGAACAGATGAACTGCAGAACCATACCAAAGCACTTGTAAGTTTTAAGTAGGACAAATATGACTATTTCCATAGCCAAGACCATGACTGCTTTTTCCTTCATATTCACTACCCAGCATGCTATCACAATATATGAAACACATGTGCTGTCCAGGATAATTTACTGGTGGCATGTAGTCGGAATCATTTTGCAAGGGAAGAGTTAGTTCTGATGACACTTTTTGGATCACATGCACATGTTTTGCTTGAACTTGATCCAACTCATTTTTCAAAGAAAAAACATCAAGAACTTGCAGATTAAAATTTGTAAGTAAACTTATGCATCTTGGGATACATTGTCATGAAATTAAAAACCAAAATCAATTAAAGCAGCTGATTCCATTCATCCAAAATGCTAAATATAGCTAGCTGGCCTATCAGTGGAATATTGTGTCCACATTTGATTATAGATACTAGAATCCTAGAGATGAAGACAAAAATCAAACTGCTATGCCACAAGACTCAGCAAGGTATAGTTTCACATGACATAAACATCAGTGGTCTTTTCTTCTGTAGAAGATTCAGTGTGCGCAATAAGTGCAATACATCCATATTTAAACTAAAACTATAGGCATAAGTGAGTTTTACTTAACATCAGGGAGCTTGAAGAGACTAGAATAACAATACATAAGTACTGATGCGTTATAGATAACTATAAGCCACTGTTATTTTCCAAGGCTTTAGCAATCCTGTCAGTCTAGTCAGACTGACAACTACAGCAGCTGCATAAATAGGTATTGATACAGTAACTCTGCATTAACTTTCTTTCCAAGGTACATTTAAGTTTTAGATTATTTACGAGTGTCCTAATTCCTTGAGTAATATTTCCCTCCTTACTCAGCATTTACCTCTTCCTGTATCAATGTCAGGCCACCTAAAAGATTCATCCAATTCCTACAAAGACAAATTAACCTGCATAATTTCAAAAATCAAATAGTTTGTAAGTGAATGAACATAACTACTCTGATTAAGACAGCAGTACACAAGTCTTCAAACTCCAGGCCCTAGTCTCTCACTACGTGGATTTTTTTTTTTTTATAGATATGACAGAGCTGGAGCTGAATGCTTTTGCTTCCCCCTTTTGGTAAATTGAAGGGAACTCCTCTAGGAGCAGAGCTTTAAGCTGAAAGTTTCAGAGGATCCACATGACAGGGAAATGCAGATCACTGTTCTCTCAGAGCCAAATACTGAAGATCTGCGACATGAGGGTCCTTCTGTACAGCAGAACTTCACAGACCCTGTTCATGACCTTGCCTCCTCCAAGTCCCATTCAACAACCAAATCTAGAAGGATTTCCCAGGTGCTATGCTGATACACAATATTAATACCTACTTATCCAGCATTATTCTTCCAGAAAAACAAAACACATTAGGGTAGGTACAACAATCTCAAATTGTCCTGAAATAAGAATTTGTACAACAGTTTTATTAAATACATTTCCACGATCTAAACCCCAGCATTTCAATGCTTCACTTAAGCTTTATTGTAAAACCACAAGAAAGAAAAATGGGTATTCCTATATTTGCTTAAAAGTGATTAAGCAACAGCTTTACCTTATACTGTGATTTAACATTATTCAAATCTGAATCCTGACATATGACAGTAAGAAAATTTCCTAGTCTGCAGAAGTTCAGTTCCAGTAATTGACAAGTACAGCCAAGTAAGTTGTTATTCCTGCAACAGACTGGCAGGAAAGATAGTGTTACACTCCTGCTGCAGTTTTATGCATCTGCAAATTATAGTAAACCAGAGCTGGCTTGTTTCAAACCGGGAATGGATTTTGTCCCTATGTTTCCAATATGAGAAGCATTCAAGTTATCACAGCATGAAATAACAGGTTTTTAATACTGCAGTGGATTTTATGCTGTGGAAATTGCTACATGATGCAGTGGTGACATGTTTATATAGAACACTCATAGGAAGGATTATACAAATCATGAATGTCAGCAAAATGGAAAGCATCTGTTTAGGTTGTGGCATGCTGCTAAGGCTCTCTTGACTGCCAGTTTGTGATATGGTACACAGCCCAGCTGGAGTCACAATAGCAAGCCAGTGACAGACTTTCATGTCACTGCCTACTGCAGAAGTTGGGCAGCCTTGCAGATCATAGCTGCTAACATAAAGCAAGCTCAGATCACCTGCATCCTGCACAGACAGCAGGCAATCAATCTTCTTTCAGATGTTTCAAGGTGACAGTACTACAGCCCCATTTTACATTTTTATATAGAAGCACACAGAGGCTTGATTAACTATCAAGAGACGAGGAAGGATTTCCCATCACACACAAAAAACTCACCACCACCAAAACCTGAGAAATGACACACTTAACTACTGAAGCAACATTACATGAAGGACCCATGTCTTTATAAAATTCACTTACAGCTTTTTGGACAAAACACCCTCCAAGAATAGTTAAAAGCCTACATAATGCTCCAGGGTATTAGCTTTGCTTTTGGACCACCAATTTAGCTGACATGGAAAAGACTAGCTGTATAAAACTTCACACATCTAGACACATTGTTCTATTTAAGTCAGCATTGACTTGCATCAAAAAAGTTGGCTTCGAATCAGCTGATTCAGAAGATATCTTATGAATTAAGCACTATTACTTTTAATAGAAATCCACCCACTGTCGGTCAAGCCAACCTTTTCTGAGATCATGAAGGGGAAGACAAGGAAAAAAGCTTTGCCAACAGTAAAAAATAAAAGGAAAAGCAAAGCAGGACATGGGATCTTCAGGAAGTATACATATGTATAGATCCTCAATTAAATATAAAGGGTGTTGACTGCCCTTAGAAGCTTAAGCCAAGATCTCAAGTTCCACAGTTGGGATCTAACTATACCTTCTTGGAGTCTTTTTTTTTTTTTTTTTTTTTTTTAAATTTTAAAGTCACTTCACACTGTAACATTTAGAGATGAATGAAACTGTTATGGAAACCCAATCATAGCAATACTAGGCTCTAAGTTTAGTTTGCCATTACTATAAGAGACTCCGAACACACAGAGGGCGCTTTAAAAAGTTCTCTGAAACAATGTTATAAATAAGTGTATGACTTCGGCCTGAAGGAAGAACAGCTGGAGAATTTAGGATCCTCCCATATTTTAATTCATGGTGATGTCATAATTTAGAGTTCTTGGAAACTTCGTCAGTTCGGCATTTAAACCACATCAATAACAGTCATTAAACCTAGTGCACATCTCCATTTGCTTAAGCATCAATTTAACTTTTATGAAGGGGAATACACAGAGCTTTCAGTTTGTATGACTTCTTACAACTTTCTCAGAACTTTTCAAGGTGCCTTAAAATATACTTTCAGAGTTTAAGAGTTTCTAAACACACTATCTTGTGTGCACTGAAGTTTAAGCACTCTCTCTGCAAGCTTTACAATACATTGGAAAAAGACTGCTCTGCCATTAAGTGTTTCACAGCGCAGATTTGAAGGGGCTCCTTTAGGGTTATGAAACAGCATTTTACTTCCACGCTAAAAAAGTTCGGTTTGGGAGGGCCTTCTAAGTTTTGAAGATTAGGCATTTTACAAAATTTTATTATGAAAAGGTAAGACAGCCAAAGAAGGCTTAAGTTGAAGTATATTTCGGATTGCTTAAGCCTTTGATTGTTATGCAAGTGTATTTCATAACCTTATTTGAAGGACCAAAGAACAGTTTTAATACTAACAATGGGCTCAGTCTGACAGCTAATGCTAACCCGAGTGTGCATCGTGCCCTCCTTCGACACTCCGATTTATGTAACTCCACGCTACCGTGGGTTTAAAAATAAACCACGCAGGAAAACAAGGTTTAGATAGATAAAAAGAGTAAGATTACATAGCTTGTTCTCCTTGGTTAGCATCTGCTAGTTATGGAGACAATATCACCCCAGAAACTGTATTAAAGATTCTCTCACTTCTAATGGCAGCCCCCAGAGAAAGCTACGAGGACAAATAAGCAGGATTCCTGAAAAAGTGTTCTTGGCTTGATTTCTTGAGAAGTCTTTTTCGCCTTTCCTCCCAGCCTTCAAAAGGAACAATTTGCCTCCAAGGCAATTCAAACATTTCCAGCAGGGGTTTTAAGTATTTTTTCCAGAAATGTGCAAGTTTGCTATTGTAACCATCATTGAAATAGCCTCTTAAAGATGCTAAGAGGCTGGCAGAAGACTAAGAGAGGAAGGCTGAGAAGTCATTCATTAACATTAACAACCTTCAAGCAGATTCAGAGGTTATAGTTGCAAAGGCTTTCATATCCAGGGCTACAGAAAAGGGGACAAGACTTACAATTCTGGATCCCAGGAGGATATAGTTGACTTAAAACTATTATTAATAATTTTAAAACCCACCATTCCTGTTGAACAGAGCAGTAAGTTAAAGATAAGAAACCCACAAAGTGGTGAGCTTGCAAATGAAAGAAAGGGCACAAGTGCAAAACTCAAGGAGACAGGAGTTAAGCAACAGCAGTTAATTTCCCAAAATTAACTGACAAAAAGGGTGGCAGAAAGGAGTTCATAGTTACCCAGAAGTGTGCGTGACAGTTAACCATCATGGTCCTCTCAATAAGCTCATCAGGACACTCCAGAAGATGGTGCCCGGAGACCACACCAGCATTGTTAACCAGGACAGACACCTCGCCAACCTCTTTGCGGACCCTCTCAGCTGTTGAGTAGACATTTTCTCTTTTGCCCACGTCACAGGTGTATGTGTAAACCTGCAAGTTGCAATGGAGCAGCGCATCTTTTTCTCCATCTCCAGCTACTAAGGAATACAGAAAAGAAAAGGGGAGGGGGAAGAAATCAAGTTCTTGCTTGTATTTTGACATTCAAGTAGAATGAGTAGAAGTAGTCGAGTGGAAACAGCAAATGCATTTCCATTACAGTAAAACTTCTATTTACTTTGGTGTCACCACAGTACACAAGGACTCGTCTATTTACTATCGCTGCCAAAGCGCTTTTTAAAAAAAAAAAAAAAAAAAAAAAAAAAGAAAAAGCTGTAGACTTTAAAGCCGCTGGTGGAGTCCAAGGCTACACGGGGC